TAGGGACCAGCATTTTCAAGAGTTAAAGGAGAGACAAGCTGCGGGTCGAGACACATCTGAGGGCGGTCACAGCGGCACCCGACATGTATGGAAGAAAGCAGAGCCACCAGTGAGAATGTGTGGGGTGTACACACGCACACACACACACACATGCGTGTACAGGATCCCCGTAAAAGGTACTGCTGACTGTGGTCATGGCCTAAAAGTTTAAGAAACTGTAGTCTGGGGCCCAGGCCCCGGAGCCAGACAGAGCTGATGGCGTCGTGGCTCTGCCTCACGGTCAGTGCGTGGACTCGGTGCACACCTGCCAACCTCGTCATCTGAAAGACACACGTGACCAGAGTACCCTCCTAGAGTTGTCAGACGACCCAAAGAAGAGACATACATGAAGCCCCTCATTCTGGGCCCACGTTCACACACGTGCTTAGGTGGGTGTTTAATTCACAAAATGGAAGCAGAAATTAGTTCATTTACTGTATGTTTTTAATGAATAGACCCATAGTGTTAGAGATCTCAGAAAACTAAATAATTGTAACTTTTTGCTGTCCCAAAGAGTTGTTCTGGGGGACTGCTGACGTCAATTGATTCTCTGTACACAGTTACTTGAATAAAGTCAGTATTGGAGACAGACATTTTTATCTCAGAAACCCTTTGCCAAGATGTAACTGACCAGTGAACACTCTTCTGATTTTGTCTCCTGCACAGGACTGAATGAATGAGCACACACTGTGCTTCGTCTTTACAACTCCTCACAGCCTCCCAAGGGACAAAGATCGCAGTCTAAGGACCTTACAAAGTATCAGAATTATCTCTCGGCTACAGAAAGACCCAGATCCAGACACACGCCAAGATTCCTCATCGGTGAGGTTTGCAGTTTCGCGAACGAGCAGCCTGTGTCCCGGCATGGAGAGACAGACTCCGAAACGCACTGCTCACCTCCTAATCACGGCCTGCCTACGCCGGCGTGCAGTCGCAGAGACGCAGTGAGATCTGAACAGAGAGGAGAGGAGAGAAGACAGGAAGGGGTCCAGAGAGAAGGCGCGGAACCACGGGGCCAGGAGGGGAGGAAAGTGGGACAGATGCTAGGGCTACCAGCAGCCCCTTGCCGTAAGTGGGAAGAGACAAATCAAAGCCACAGAAGGCTTTCTACTTCAGAGTAAAGAAAAGAGAGGAAGTGAGGATTTGGACACAACGGCAGAAACACGGGGCCGTGGGGATGGGCGGAAGATCCAACAGTAGGGTTGGAAGATGAGAAACGACGCTGCTGATCGCTGAAGGTTGGTCCAGAAAGCAGGACTGAGCCACCCAGAGAAAGGGGGAGGCTGGTGGAATGTTTAAGCAGAGAAAAGGAAATGAAAAAATAGCTATAAAATGTCCCCCACGGTGTAGCCTATAGGGACAGGGAAGCACGAATGTAGAAATAAAATTTTAAAAGTCTTTGCAAAGTCCAGCTACAGAGTTGGTATAAAAATGAAGTTCTCTCTGAGAGACAAAGGTAAACAGGTGGCCGGTGGCATGGTTAAGGTGCCAGATCCCAACGGCCAATTGCAAGGGTTAGTCCAGGGTTCAGAGCTTGAGAAACACGTTGTGGGTGTGTGGGTGCCCAAAATCCCACAGGAGAGGGAGATGGAGGCGAAGAGACTGCAGGGTGACCATGCCCCGAGGGTGGTGAGGTCTCACTTTCCCTCTCTGTCTCTCTCTGGCAAGCAAACATGTCTTCTGGCAAAATAAATCAATAAAGATCAATGGAGAAAAAGCAAGTTAAGCAACGGCTGAACGCTTGACTGACAGCAGGGTGTATTTTCTGGTAACAGTGTTTCATACCATGGCAAAAGAAAGTAAACCCAGGATCGCAGGGAATAATGATCTCAAGCCAGATTGTGTCTCCCCCGGGGAAAAGCCGAACTTCCTGCCGGAATTACAGTTCAGCTGAATCCAGCACTCAGCTGTGTGGGCTTGAAGAGAGTAGGGACCAGCATTTTCAAGAGTTAAAGGAGAGACAAGCTGCGGGTCGAGACACATCTGAGGGCGGTCACAGCGGCACCCGACATGTATGGAAGAAAGCAGAGCCACCAGTGAGAATGTGTGGGGTGTACACACGCACACACACACACACATGCGTGTACAGGATCCCCGTAAAAGGTACTGCTGACTGTGGTCATGGCCTAAAAGTTTAAGAAACTGTAGTCTGGGGCCCAGGCCCCGGAGCCAGACAGAGCTGATGGCGTCGTGGCTCTGCCTCACGGTCAGTGCGTGGACTCGGTGCACACCTGCCAACCTCGTCATCTGAAAGACACACGTGACCAGAGTACCCTCCTAGAGTTGTCAGACGACCCAAAGAAGAGACATACATGAAGCCCCTCATTCTGGGCCCACGTTCACACACGTGCTTAGGTGGGTGTTTAATTCACAAAATGGAAGCAGAAATTAGATCCTTTACTGTATGTTTTTAATGAATAGACCCATAGTGTTAGAGATCTCAGAAAACTAAATAATTGTAACTTTTTGCTGTCCCAAAGAGTTGTTCTGGGGGACTGCTGACGTCAATTGATTCTCTGTACACAGTTACTTGAATAAAGTCAGTATTGGAGACAGACATTTTTATCTCAGAAACCCTTTGCCAAGATGTAACTGACCAGTGAACACTCTTCTGATTTTGTCTCCTGCACAGGACTGAATGAATGAGCACACACTGTGCTTCGTCTTTACAACTCCTCACAGCCTCCCAAGGGACAAAGATCGCAGTCTAAGGACCTTACAAAGTATCAGAATTATCTCTCGGCTACAGAAAGACCCAGATCCAGACACACGCCAAGATTCCTCATCGGTGAGGTTTGCAGTTTCGCGAACGAGCAGCCTGTGTCCCGGCATGGAGAGACAGACTCCGAAACGCACTGCTCACCTCCTAATCACGGCCTGCCTACGCCGGCGTGCAGTCGCAGAGACGCAGTGAGATCTGAACAGAGAGGAGAGGAGAGAAGACAGGAAGGGGTCCAGAGAGAAGGCGCGGAACCACGGGGCCAGGAGGGGAGGAAAGTGGGACAGATGCTAGGGCTACCAGCAGCCCCTTGCCGTAAGTGGGAAGAGACAAATCAAAGCCACAGAAGGCTTTCTACTTCAGAGTAAAGAAAAGAGAGGAAGTGAGGATTTGGACACAACGGCAGAAACACGGGGCCGTGGGGATGGGCGGAAGATCCAACAGTAGGGTTGGAAGATGAGAAACGACGCTGCTGATCGCTGAAGGTTGGTCCAGAAAGCAGGACTGAGCCACCCAGAGAAAGGGGGAGGCTGGTGGAATGTTTAAGCAGAGAAAAGGAAATGAAAAAATAGCTATAAAATGTCCCCCACGGTGTAGCCTATAGGGACAGGGAAGCACGAATGTAGAAATAAAATTTTAAAAGTCTTTGCAAAGTCCAGCTACAGAGTTGGTATAAAAATGAAGTTCTCTCTGAGAGACAAAGGTAAACAGGTGGCCGGTGGCATGGTTAAGGTGCCAGATCCCAACGGCCAATTGCAAGGGTTAGTCCAGGGTTCAGAGCTTGAGAAACACGTTGTGGGTGTGTGGGTGCCCAAAATCCCACAGGAGAGGGAGATGGAGGCGAAGAGACTGCAGGGTGACCATGCCCCGAGGGTGGTGAGGTCTCACTTTCCCTCTCTGTCTCTCTCTGGCAAGCAAACATGTCTTCTGGCAAAATAAATCAATAAAGATCAATGGAGAAAAAGCAAGTTAAGCAACGGCTGAACGCTTGACTGACAGCAGGAACACGTGACACACACGAGCTCAGGGGGAACCGAGCAGAGTTCTCCGCCATTGCTTCTCAGCTGTTCACAGAGGTAGGCTGGGAGACATGTCACTCACGCCACGACTGTGATGAATAAGAGGAGGCAAAGCGGGGAACTCTGCTCCCTGCACGCCCAGATTACACGCCAGTCCTAACTCCTGCACTGCCCCAGGTGCCAGTCCGCAAGGCCGGGGCGTGGCTTTGCTGTCACTGCACTGTCCGCTCCCTCGCTCGGCCCTTCTGTCCATTTCCCCAGCGGGAGCTCCCAGGAGCACCTCTCTAAGAGAAGAGGCCGGGAATCGGGAGTGGGGCAGGCATGGCTCAGGCAAGCTCCGGGGCCCGGAACCCAGGGAGAAGCCACGAAGCACAACTGCATGGCACTAGCTGTCCAGCCAAGACTGCAGAACCAAGTTCCCAATGCCTGGAGCCGACAGCAGGGTGGAAGTCACTGTGGGGAGGTTTTGGGGCCGGGTCTGGGCTCAGAAGCCCAGCTTTCCTTGAGAAGTTACTTAACCCTTGGAACCTGATTCACTTGTCCGTAAAACAGGGAACAGTACCTAGACCTGTCAGCTTGTTAGGGAGATAAGATGACCCCCGAGTGTCACTGCCATCTCCTCGGACCTGTTAGAAAGCTAGTGAGTTCTTCTGCCACTGAAAGCAAGACCCACCTGTCCTCCCGTTTTCAGTTCAAGTGTGGGGAGCAGCCTCTGTGTGCACCTTGTGGCCGTGCCCCCGCCCCCCGCCGAGGCTGTACGCTGTGGGGAAGCCTGTCGCTGCAGCCAGGAATGAGCACAAACAGCTCTGGGTTGCCCCATCGTCACACTTAAATGCAATTTTGCGTCCTAGACTTGGCACAGCCAAAGCACTCCTGATCAGACAACGTAGCGGTTCATATCTACCATGTCCCTAGCAAAACGTAAACATCCAAGTTGAATGGACACAACTTTGAATTCTAAAACATCCAACAAGGAAAGACCCTATTAAATGTTTCCAATATCCCAACTCCTTTGTTCCAAACCAAAAAAAAAAAAATCCCCTACTGAGGTTTTTGAAAATATGGAACACAACCCACCAACAGGGGGAGGCGGAAGGTGTCTCGATGGCGATGGCGAGCTCCACCCATCGTCCTAAACCTTACGCCTCCTAAGGGTCAGCACCTTCCCATGGCAGACAGGTGCAAGTTGCTGTGGAAGGGCAACAGAGTAGAAAAGACCTTACCCCTTTAAGGTGGCTCCCAAGTTCATCTGATTCCAGGTCATGCATTCAAGCTGGGAAGTCATTTGATACAAGTTGTCACTGTTGGGAAAACATCAGAGTTAGCAGCAGGTACCCAGCAGGACGCAGGCAACAGTGTCTTCAAAAGGCAGTGCAGCCTTCCGGGGTGACAGACGCGTCAGAAGGAAATGACTCGTCTTGCACCGCCGACATCTGCACACTTATTTGCTCACACACAGCAAAGGATATGAGGGTAATCTGGAAGCCTCTCCCAAACCTCAGGACAGCAAATGTGGAAGTTTCTAAAGAGGTATGAAGCCTGGGAGGGGAAGAGGCTAAAGGGAGTGAAACTCTGAAAGGCAACACAGGCTGGATAGCTCGATACTAAAAGTTAAAAGCCTGGAGCTGCAAGTAAAAAGACGGCAGATTAATTATTCATGAAAAGGCCATTAAGTTGTTTTCATCAAAAGGGTAAGTATCATGTGGGTTATGATAGCTCGAAGTCAGAGTGATGGGTGATGGATGTCTGATACTAAGCATCTGACAAGCTGAAGAAGAGGATGGAAGCTCTGAGCACCCTGGGAATCATTCTCCACTGCCATTTCAATCCTAGTTCAAGTCAAATAGAGGGGAGGAAAAAATTAAAAAGCCCCATCCAGTCTGTAAGGTGCAACAGGACAGCCAGCATTTACACTTCTCCTCCCCAGAGGAGAAAACACCACCATGTAAACCACCCCCCAGCTGTTCCCCTCTCACGTGTATTTCCTTAGAAAACATGCACACATCAGTTGCCAGGACTGTCCTAATCGTCCAGTCTCTTAGGAATAAATTTGGGCCTGAACTCAAAGAGTTCATTCCGAACGTGAGCCCCAGAGATTAATGGCTGTCCAAGAACCCTCAGTGTCAACGCATTACAGAAGAAAATGTTCACTCCACCCTCAGGGCAGAAGTGAAAGAGGACGAGGAACAGTCCTGGCACTCCCGCAGGTCTCTTCCTCCCAGAAGCAGCCCTAAATTTTAGTTCAGAGGGGCTTTTCTCAGGCCAGCCAAATGGGGACCTTGGGAGAAGAGGGGGAAACCCCAGCCCTCCCTCTGCACGGCTTGAGGCTTGATGACCAGGCAGTCACTGACTCTCCTGTGATGGCTCGGAAAAGCCTTTGCAAGTCCTCAGTGGCCAGTGGCCGGTATACGGGTTAAGGAGGAAAACGGATTCCAGGAAGGAATTTTGCACATGAAAAGTGAGGTGACTTCAAACTGGAAGTATGCGGAGTTTCATTAGTCAGGGTGCCCAGACCCCATCATTCACCCGTGTCTGGAGCTATTACACCGCTACAACAACCTACATATCAATGAAAAGAGCGATCCGTTTCCCGCCCGTGCTGGCCTGTGCCACTGCGTTTCGCAATTCCGCGAATTCTTGCTGTGAGACTGGGGTAATTAATCCCTGCAGAACCCCAACTTTTATTAGAAGTGCCAGCCTACGGCATTTTCCACAGGAGAGCTTCGTGAACTTTCTTTGGGCTGACAGTTCATTAATAAGCAGCCTCCTCCACATCTCCACTGGTTTTTGTTCTCCTGCGCCTTTTCATCAAGTAATCCATTTATTAATCTCGCCATTAATCTCAGCCAGCAGGCATTGTATTCCCCAGGCAGCTCTATATTTTTGTCACGAATTTTTAAAAAATCGTTCACCAACTAAAATCACTCAGCCTCAGCTGACAATTTTCCTAGGCCCTGTTGGGTTGTGGGATCTTGCTGAAATATTCCATCCCTGTATTAAGACCAAGAAATTTGTAATTTTCAAGAGAGCTGGGTGACCAGATGAGTGACAGCAGTCTGTGTCCAGGGAAGAGAAATCCCAGAGTGAACTTTATGGTTTAGAAATGTCTTCACAAAGGTACGGGACAGTCAGGGTGGCTCCTCGGGATAGCTGCGAGGTCCTGGAAGAGAAAACATTGTAAGGGCTCTTCCTCCACCTGGAGAGCAAACTTCCTTGAGGGCGGGGTCCGCATCTTACCTGCTGGCACTTTCTGGGAGGGGCCTGACACTGCACTGCCTGCCGCACCTGCGGGCTGTGGCCAGCAAGGACCAGCGCTGCGGCAGGGTGGCCCCGGGCCCCCCCGCGCCCCCCCCCCCCTGCCACTGGCTCACGCTGTCGCCCACCATGGGTTAAACATGGTGTTTTGAAGTTAATTTCCCTCTTTATTTTGTGGCATCCGTTGTGTTTCTATCGGGCGCTACTGCCTGCATGGTCCCGGGCCCTGAGCAACCAGTTCAGCTTTTGGCAGCACGGTTTTCTTGTCTGTGCGTGGGAATACTGATGTCAACCACCTAACTCTGCAGGGATGCTGTGAGGCTCGAGGATGTGGCCCTTTGAAGACAACAGCAAGGATACGTTTTAGTTTTTTCTAATTTTGCGCGGCACTTTCACAGGTCCCCAATACTGCTCACGACGACTGTGTCAGGCAGCTATGATCAGGGTCTCCATTGACGGTGGACGCCCGGGGCAAGAGGGGCTGAGTGCCGGCATGCCTCATGTCCCCACCCTGCCTGCCCTTGAAGGCATCCTGGCATGATATGGTGGCCTCTGAGCATCTCCTCTCCCTGTCATTTGTATAATAATAATAATAGGAATGGGAATAATAGGAATACCCAAAGGAGTCTGCAGGTGAAATGCACAGAAGGCCAGCAGGAGGTCGCGGGGGGGCGCTGCCAGCACCTCCTCTCCAGGTCATGAACAGCATGCCCAGAGCGTAGCAGGGTGCCCCGAACTCCCAGCTCAGTCTGCACCCTCGGGGTGGCAGGAGAGAGATGGGGAGAGTGAACAGGAGAGGACTTTCAGGAAATCCCTAAGCTACTATTAATAACAGGTTTCCGAGGTCAGAGCCAGGGTCAGAGCACGTCTTACCACACCCTGCCTCTGCTTCTGGGGTTTCTCTGTGGCTCAGGTGGCCAGCCTGGCTGACACCACCTCTCAGGTGCAAGCCCAGGACCTCGATGACAATGACTGCTGCTGGGAGACGACAAAAGGGGAGCTAAAAGAAACAGCCACCTGGCACGCTCAGACTCTAATCTGCTGGGCCTGCGGTCCACACCCAGCCCTGGCCAAGAAGCCCCCAGAAAGCGGCAGTACCGGCCAGGGAACGTGGCGTCTGGCCAACCATGCATCCGACCGCTGCGGAGCTGCAGGTGTCCACCACCTCCTCCCCAGGCGAGATCAGATAAGCCCCACCACGGTCACGTAGGCACTTGGGCTCCCACCATCTGACTCTGCCTGTTCGGAAGTGAACTCTGAAAGCACAGGCTGCCAAAATATATTCCCGAAGTCTTGGTGTCCTGTATATTTTTAAGTAGATCTTAATTTTTAAAAAAATCACTCATTTCCTATGTAAGAAATGTTTGAAGCTGGAGGCAATGGAGAGAGGAGGGGACTTCTCTAAGTTGGATTAATGCAAGCTGGAGTAAAAGAAAAGGAAGCCAAGCCAGCAAAAAGAGGAACTTGAAAGGAAGCCAGGAGGCGGGGGTATCGCGTTTGCCTTGGCCTGGGCCGCAGCGTGACTGCGTTTCTCGGCCTCCTCACAGAAAGGAAGGAAGGGAAGGACCCGTGGCTGTCATCTACACCAGGACACCTCCACTCTCCAAACTCAAATGCCACTCCGGTACCTTTTCATCTTTGAGTGTGATTGTTGTGTTCA